TACAATTTTAAGGAATAAATAGTTTGTCAGTGACCAAAAAGGTGGGAAGAAGTTCACTGCAAAGACACAGAGATGTGAAAAGTGGGCTGGTATCAATGGACCATTATACTGTAGTCAAGAAAGGCAGGAATGACATCACTCTAGTGAGCCACACCTCCAGCCTTGGACATTGGTCACACTCTTAAGTTTCAGGACTTGGCAGGATTCTCCAGGGGTCAGAACCAATAGGAAAACATATATATATTTATTTATTATAAATATAATACTATTATATGCATTTTATGTATTATTAGATATGAAATTATAGTATACAAAATATTAATTATCATAAAATATGTGTGAATTTTATACATATGGAGATTTATACATTAACTTATAGGATTATGGAGGCTCTGATCTGTAGGCTGGATCCCCAGGAAAATGAACAGTGTCATTCAGCTAGGTCTCAGATTTGAGGGGAGCTACTAATGTAAATCACAGCTCCAGAGCAGGGGAAAATCACATGAGATATATGTGCTCAAGCAGTGAGGAAGGGAGAAGGAAAGGTGGCAACTTCTCCTTTCTCTACGTATTGTGCTGGTCAGGACTTCAAGATCCTAGAGTGCCCAACCACTCTGTAGAGGGCAGTCTACTTTACTGACCCTGTGGATTCAAATGTTAATGTCATCCAGAAACTCTCTCAAAGACACAGCCCCAAACAAGCTTTGATTGTGCTGGCATATCCACCTGGGTGGCTCCTCACAAGCACTGTGTGAGCAAGGCTCCCTGGTCATCCTTCCCAGCATGGCTCTCTTCTCACCTTGTTGCCGACCTGAAACCTATTCTTCCTGTCATTTCCTGTGTCACCCTCAAGTTGTTCCAAGCTAGAAAATGGAGAGTCATTGTGAGCTAACTCCTTTTTTCTCCCCTTCCACAAACAGCTACTAATATATTTCTTTAGTTCTAGCTCAAAAATATCCTTGAAAATATATCCACTTCTTTCCCTATAAACAACTTTCATCTGTGTTGTTACAATATCCTTCTACTTGGATTCCTGCCATCATTCTGCTTCATGATGCCAGCCCATTTTAAGCATGGAGGCTAGTCATTTGGGTCACCCAGCCAAGTCCTTTCTTTAGCACCCATGGGGTTCTCCTGGGCTAACCAGAAAGAGATCTAGTCTGACCTGTGTGAGGATCTCAGTTGTATGTCTTGGCTGTGCTGAGATGTGAGTGGGGAAAAAGGGATGGCTCACACTCAGCTTATACAAATTAAAAATCTCTTCTGGCAGTGAAGATATGGCCTAGATTCAGAGCTCTCCCATTCCCAGGGCCAGCCTACCTTCTGTGATGCAATGGGCAACATAAAAGGAGAAGGAGTGAGCCTGGTGGTCTAGCCTTTCCTGCTAAATTGAAGTGTGCCCTTGGTAATCTCATCAGTAACCTCATCTCATAGACTCTTAGCATTGTCAGATCATATAGCACCCAGATCTGGTGTTCCCTGGGTCTTGGCATTAGGGATATTATTTTGGAAAATATCTTCTCTGAAGCTGATCAAAGGAAAGTATGCATTTACGTGAGTATTCCAATCAAATAGTGAATAAAGAAAAGTGGCATGTGCTAAAATGAAGGGAAAGGTAGATTATCATGGATTAGTATCAGCTCAAGAAGGCCAAGTGGTGAGAAATTACAATACTGTCTAACATGGAAACCACAGGGGTGAAAAATGCAGCTAGAGGCAGGTGTAGCTTCATACCCTTGCACCTACACTCTATTTTAGGTCTTTAGTGTTAAAGTTAATGTGACTTAACTTCTGTTTCTTGACTCTCATTTGCTCATTAATGTTCAAACTCCTCCCACTTTTTGGTGAGATTTCCAGTCCTTTGACTCTTGGACATTATGGCTACCTCTGGGCTATTACAGACTTTACAGTGACCTACCATTGGGTATTATATCTACAATCCAATTTGTGGAATCGGTATGTGTCAATTCACTTACTTGCTGAAGTTTATTTGTAATCCCCAAATCAGTGTTAGTAGTGCCTTTCTGTTCATTTGTGGCCATTCACAGAGTGTCAAAAAATTGGAGTCACCCACATTCACATTCCCAGTTGAGGCTGAACAATGTGATGGTATGCTTCCTGTTTCAGCTCTCACACTGTAAACACATGCCCTTTTCACTATTTAGTACCATAGTTTCCCTGTTTTTGTCTTTTTTGGTGATGATTTAACTGTTTACAGTGGCTAATGTGCTGGCTGGGAGTTTCTAAGTACAAGTCTAGGCTGTGCTTTATAGATAAAATATGTGTGGTACACAAGCTTCATTCAGGCCAGAGTTAGAGCACTGTTGGCCAAGAGTTCAAGTTAATAAAACAATAATATGGCACATTCAGAAAAAGGAAGAGGAAATTCACAGAGTTATAAGTAATGCTGCTCCAGAAAGTGAAGTCACATTTACAGGGGGTTATGAAACTATGAAAAGGATAGAAAAGCAACTAAATTTGTGGATTCATGAGATGACAAAACTGATTTGTAAAGAATGTATTAAAAAGAGCATAAAATTTACAATCATATTATCCAGGGTAAGGAAAGTATTAAAACTTTCTTGGCTAGCGTTTTCTTATAAAGAAATACTGCTGGTAATTAATTTGCAAGATACTTATTCAGTAAGTGTAATTTGTACAGGAATACAATAAAACAAAGTTATGTATTGATGGGTTGACAAAAATGTTGTGATCGGAGACTGACAGGAACTTAACAACATTGCATTTCCCTTAGGAACAATGGGTCAGAATTTACTAGTTCAGTGTTTGCAGAGACTTTATAGAACAGAACTTCCATAAACAATGAGAAGTAGCTGTATATGATCGTCTTTACTTTACACCATGTCTCCTTTATATCAGCAACTCTACCTGCTAGTGCCCCACTTGTATTCAGTATTGAATTAATGTGTGCTTAAATAAATGTTTATGTGGGCCTTCTGGCTTCACAGTACAGTATTGAAATTCTAGGTTGTGTCTCTTCGCAAGTAGGATGTTGGCTAGGAGTTTTGAGGTAGCCTGATGGGTGGAATTATCAGAATGGAAATACAGTTTTTAAGAAAATCTGTAAAGGATGTAATCTGCCTAAAAAATGGCATAAGTTGCACATTAGCTGTTATTTGTATTTTGCAGCTTTCCAGTGTTAAAATGCTATAATGTCAGCTGTTCATCTACTTATGGTCAGTCAGGATACAGATTTTGCTTTTGTGACATTGTGTTACTCTGTACTTGGTTGGTATATTTTGAAAAATTTCTTTAAAATATTTTCCTGAGAAGTTACATGACTGTTTTTTCCATGACCACATATTAAAAGACCAGTTTCATTTCTAATAATTTCACGAAGAAGAGTTAAATTTGAATTCACATGGTCCACCCTTTCAGGAAAAATTTGTAGCCCATAGTTGATAGAATGATCACCACATTCTCTTTGGCATAGAAGAAGAAAAGGGGCCATTGAATTCCTCTTTCATCTGTGAAAGCAAAAGTTTCAAGCAATAGGAGAAGGTATGTATGAAGTGAGCAGACAGCAGGGTTGGGATCATTTTTATGGAGTCATACTGTCTTTGGAGCTGCTGTGACTTTTGAAACCTATAGCTGAGAATATTTGAGGATACCTACTTGTTTAGCTAAGGGCTATCTTTGTTCTTTTGCAGCCTAGAGGGTACAAATACAAAGGACAGAAGCGCAGAGTCATCTGTGGCTACTCCCCATGGTCTTGTGCACAGCTGCCAGTTATTTTACCAAGTCTCCATTTCTTGTCCACTCAACGAAAATAAAGTGTAGCTAAAGAGTTCACTAAATATTTGATAATACTAAAAATGTATTTTTATAACCTTTCAGGTTTAAGAGCAATGAAATATACTTAGAATTCCTATCCATCACTCTAATACCTTAGGCTGAGGTTAGTTAACATCTAATTTGCTAGAGAATGTCTCTTAATAATGTCGTCTTGTATTATGGAGATGACACTGACAGTCAATATCGATTCTATCAAGGATTTAAATTCATGACACACTATCTTCTGGAGAAATCTTCATCATAAAGCAGGTTTTTCATTTTTAGAAAAAAGCATGAAAATCAACATGTATTTTATTGAAAATAGGAAATATTTAATATATATAAATTTATTTACTTTGGCAATTACTTATTTACAATTGATGATTGATACCAACAATTGAGGTAAAAATATACATGAGGTATAAATATGATATTTAAATGCAATATCCTATTTTATTTCTATTGGCAAGATAACAAAGAATGAAATACTATGATATCTGACAAATAAGCTTGATGCATCTTTTTTCTTTTGTTTCTCCCTTTCCTTTGTTTTAAAGAGGCACCATGTTGTTATGCAGCAGTGATGTGATTAGTACATGCATAAAATTAAAGTCAGGTAATTGAAAGAGAGGGGAGTCAGAAATATAGTCATATTTGTTTTTATTCTGTTTTAAGTGTCCTCTAGGTCTTTGTTTCTCAGTGTGTCCTTGTGTCTAGCAGCATGGGCATCCCTGAGGCTCATGAGAAATGCAGGTGTCAGGCCCACCCAAGACAGCCTGAATCAGAGCATGCATTTTAACAGGATTCCCAGGACACTCCTAGAATACAGACTAAAGTTGGAGAAGCCTGCACTGTGTGATACAGTGCCATTCATCCTTGTGCGCCTATTTTACTTTTTAAACACATAATGTCTCATTTCTGGAGTGGGACCAGTGTTTAGCTAGATTAAACTTCAGAATCATCATGTCAATGCATAACAAGTAATCTGGCATATATGGTTAAATTTAAGATGTGATGGGAGACTGAATTTCTGGTTGGAGTCCAAATGGTAAACTGTGGGTTTGCTGCTGCCTTCTTAGGTAGATGTGGGAATGAAAAATTCCTAGTATGATTTTTTTGTGCACCATACCAAACTCATAGATAGAATATTCCTCTCAATAAGACAATTGCACTTTGCTGATAAGACAAAATAATACATAAATGCATACTATACAAAAAGAGTGAAAACAGTTGTTTTACTTTTTTTCTTCCAATACCAGTTGGTAAACCATGGACAGTCAAAGAAAATTTGTCTTTAAATCCAAGCACAGTAAGTTTTTTCTCTTTACAGCTGTTGAATTACAATACCCCCCCCCTTAAATCCATTCACAATTGGTTAAGGAAAGTCAATTTGTCTGTACAATAATAAATAAGGTGGGGTCAAATGCATAGATAGCTAATAAGAGATATAGAATTAATATATCCATTTATATTTTCTAAACTAATTAAAGATTATAGTTTTGGTCTTGTGTTAGTTAAAAATCCTATCTTTCAGATTGTAAGGTTTTAATGAATTATATTTTAAGAGCATCATATATAGCACAATAAATTCCCTGAAGCTATTACAATGGTCCAAGACTCTTAAAGGACCATCATTTCTCTTTGTCTGGTGTCTGTATTCAAATTCAGTGAACTATATTAAAAAAATCCAATTATCTGTGACCACATAGGCCACTGGTCATATAGAAGAATATTTCATAACATTTTAAAAAGTATGTATGAAAACTTGAGATAACAGAGGCTCCCTGTGGCTGTAAATATGAAAAGGCTCTGATATTCAGCCCTACTTGGGGGGAAATTGGTTCTGTTTCAGTCACCATTGTTGACTCTAGCGGTGCATCTGATATCTCTCACTGAGATTGTATTTGCAGGACCCAGTGGCAACTTGTAATCAAGCTTTAAATTTGGCAGTAACTTCTCACCCACTGCTTTGCTTTAAAGAGGAGTAAACATTCTTTCCCTTGTGTTTCCCTAAAATTCCACTCTTAGTTTTTGAACAGCGGAAGCAAACTGTTAAAATGCATAAGAACCTTTTAATGCTACTTCCCTTTGGTTAGCTAGTCTTTGGTTGGACATCAGGACAGATGGACAGACTATCCATCTTTACACCTTGGTGTTAGCAGGAGGCTCTTCTCAGATTATGGGGCAGTGGGGAGATGGAATACAAAACATCTTGGGAAGAGCTATGTGAGGAAGAGACTCACTGAGTCAGTCACTCAACTATTTATAAAATTGATATTTTACACATATACAGTAAAGATAGATATACACATGTATGTACATATGCTACACATACATTTATTTACAGTTAAGAATATGCTTCTTAGAAGCCTTTAAATAGCAAATTAGGCAATGCACAGGAATAATCCATTTAATTTTTAGTAATATAGATAAATGTTCTGGTTTTTAAAAATATTTTATTAGTAGGGATGCAGCCATCTCCAGGATGGCTAGAAAAAGTCTCAGAAAATTCTTGCATCTTCAACATTCCAACTTCTCAGTGTTTCCATTTTTAAGCATTAGCCACATCCATCAGTGCCTCTCTCTCTCGCTTTCTCACATGCATATTCTCTGCCACAGTGTTTGTTTCAGCTTCCTATTCCCTGAGTTTGATGCCATGCTGGGAAAAACTCAGATTTTAGTTTCTGGACCCTCGGCAATGAGGGGCTGGAAAGAGTTTCTAATCCTGGCAACTTCTGCTGCACAAAGATGTCCAAAGCCTTTGCTGTACCATTCTGGGGAGTGACCTCTGTAGCGAAAGAAATCAAGAAAGGAGTGGGTGAGTCTTTTTACAGACCACAGCAATTTGTCAGGTTAGACAGGACTATCCTTGGGCTCTGGTCACTAGTATATTTGCAACACAATTTGGGGCTGCAGCCTCAAATATCTGAGGACCTCATTCTGTCAACAGGTGCCTTGACAACATCTTGGCTGCTCAGCATTCAGTCTGTCTTTTCAGGATTCTTCAGGTGCTTTTAAAGTAATACCAACTTCCCAAGAAAAAAGTGGGAAGATTTACAATGAATCTAAATTTTACTGAGAATACTAAATTTATATCTACCAAGGTCAAGAACTCGGTTTAGCACCATGAAGGCCTGAAGGGGCTGGATTTAAGTTAGTTTCTTCTAAAACAAAAGCAAAAACAAAAGCACAACAACCACAGAGAACAGCAAAATATATAATTAACTGGTGTGCAATGGTGGATGGATGGATAAAGAAAACGTGGCAGTGAAATACCACTTGATCTTAAAAAAAACCAATTCTGTCATTTGTGACAATATGCATGAATCTAGAGGACATTATGTTAAAGAAATAAGTCAGCACAGAATGACAAATACTGCATGTTCCCACTTATATGTGGAACCTAAAAATGTGGAACTTACTTAAGTAGAGGGTAGAATGGTGGTTACTAGCGTCTGAGGTATGATGGGCACTGGGGAGACAGATGTTGCTCAAAGGATACAAAATTCCCATTAGATTGGAGTAATAAGTTCAAGGGAGCTATAGCACAACATGGTGACTCTAGTTAAAAATAATAAATTGAGGGCTGGGGATTTAGCTCAGTGGTTCTGCCGCCTGCCTTGCAAGCGCAAGGTCCCGAGTTCAATCCCTGGTACCAAAATAAATAAATAAATAAGTAAGTAAGTAAGTAAATAAATTGTATCCTTATATTTTAAGTATTCTCAGCACAAAAAATAAGGATATGTGGTAATGGGCATGTTAATAGCTTGGTTTGGGGACTCCACAGTGTATATACATATCAACACATCACACACACCATAAATATATATATTGTTTGCTTGTCAAGAAAAATGAATAAATAAATTAGAAAAAAGAAAATAAAGAAGAGCAAAGGGCTGAAGGAGAAATGTCAGAATTTTTGGAAAGGAGAGAGAGTAGGAATATCACCTGTGCAAACCTGTTAATGGCAGTGAAGAAAAAAGTACAGGAAAATAAGAAATCAAGATGACACACATTGTGCTGATGAATGTGAAAGGGACCTGTGCTTTTCATGCTCAGAGCTGCCACTTACTTCAGGTCTATCCTGCAGATGTGGGTCAGTCTGGACTTGCCAGAGCCACACGGTTCTATCAGGTACTGAGAATCCATTACCACTGCCCTCACAGCACCCATGAGCTGGGCTTCCTCGTGCTCCACGGAGAGGGATACCAGGGTGCACATTCCTTTGGGCAAGTCGGTCTTCCAAGTCCTGGGACAAAACAAGCCATGCAAGAGTGTAACAGCCAACAGAGAAAGAAAAACCTGAACACAGAGCTGAGGTTCACACTTATGTTTTCCTGCCAAAATCTTGGGCTCAAATTCCAATGTCAGTTACTTGGATTAGGCTAATGGCTTCCATAAGCATGTATAAAGTTTATACAGTGCATTTCAAAGCAAGGATTGCAGCTCTCAGAGCCAGAAATTGTCTTGCAGCTTTTAGACCTGCATTTGGAACCCCAGACTGGGGGCTCAGTTCTACTCTGCTCTAGAAGTTTCTGTTCATTGTTGAAGAAGTGACTTCACAGTTTAGGTATCAGGACTCATTCACATCCATGTGCCAGGCTCTAAGAAGCCACCAAGTTTCAAAGATACTCAGCCCAGGAAGAGAAACTGACAACTCTACCAAGAAATCTAAAATCATGGTGGTTAAGTGCAGTGTAACAGTTATGCATAAAGGGGTCTGGGATCACACAGAGAGGGCAGGGAAAGAATACTGGGAAGGTTCTGAAGGAGGTAATTCACATCTTAATAAATAAATGATATGCTGGTGCCTACTTTGAAGAAAACTAAACCTACGTGGACCTGCCAGTTGTCTTCAGATACCTCTTCAATGGAAGAAACACATATGCTTGATTTGACCCCAGAGGCAGGAGGGTACATTTCATCACACGGTGAAGAGGTAAGTGTGTACACTATATACAAACAGAGAGGGCTGCCTGGGGTGGCACTGAGTTCCCTGATACTTTGGCTATGACGTAGGAAAAGGTAGTAGATGGAGTTAAGAATTGTAAGGGCATCGTGGCAACCAACTTGGACCTTCCCTTTGACCCCAAGAATCTTATAATCCCCAGTATTCATTTCACAATCCTGTTTCCTGGTTCAGCGGTCTTCTCTGTGACTCCACCCTGTCGTACCAGAGAGACTTTATATAGACTTAATATTTCGGTTTGAATGTGTCCCCAAAATTTTATGTGTTGGGAATGCAGTCCCTAGTGCAGTAGTGTTGAAAGTTGGGACTATGAGAGATAACCTGGTCATGTGGGCTCTGCTCTAATGAACAGATTAATCTATTCATGAATTAATGAGTTACTGAGGGAGTAGCTTTGTCATAAAAGCACATGCTTTCTGGCAGGCTTGGTCTAACTTGTCATGTGATAACTTTTGCCATGCCATGACCCAGTAAAAAAGGTGCTTGCCAGACATTAGTACCATACTCTTGGAATTCTCTGCCTCTAGAATCATAAACTAAATAAACTTCTATTCTTTCTAAATTACATATAAATTACAGGTATTTTATTATAGCAGTAGAAAATGAACTAAGATACTCAATGAGAACTTGGGTCTAACCAAGCCTGACATAAATGCTCAGAAACTTCCCTTGGCTATGACCACTCTCTTGCCATGCATGGTGATGTAATGAATATGAACAATGATGGTTTTAAAGATCCATGGGGTTAAAATGGGAAGATCTTCAGTAACTCTCATTGGAAGCTCCTGAGGAGCTGGAGACCAGTATGAAGTGAGAGATAAATGTAATCCTAAAAGATAGTCAGCCTCATGGCATCAGCCCAGATGGGGAGATGCTCAGGATGGCTTTCCGCCCTATGACTTTCTCACCACAACTGTCACTTCTAGCTTCTTGTGTTATAAATATGGGAATTCCTGTTGGCAGGATCAGGTCTGTCTGGCACATTGTTTAGTCAGTCCTCTTACGTGTCAAGCTCCTTCACACAGCCTTGTGGACCACCTACTTTTTCCTTCAGGTCTTACACTAAATATCAATGCAGCAAGACTTTGCCTCAACCACTATATTTAAAACTCTACTCTTACTATGACCCTATCTTACTTATTCTCCCCAGGATAAGTAAGCTTATCTGTTTTTCTTCTTATTTATCAACTCTCCTTGGTAAAATACAAATTCCAAGAGATCACAATCAGTCTGTTGTGTTTACCAGGGCATCCCCCAAGGCTGTTACAGGGCCTGCCGTAAAGTACTATGGAAATAGCAAATAGCAGGCTGGTAGGGTTGCTGTACAGATGGAATGAGGGGGGTCCCATGCAGGAACTCCCTCTCAGCCTCCTCTAGAGAGAAAGAACAGGCACATCACAGCAAGTGTCTATTTCTAGGCTGCCTTCCTCAACAACTACTCAATTTTCTGCTTGTGAGAGTAATGGTGTGAAATTTAATTCCACAAGATGACTAATGTCCCAATAACCGTGGTAATAAGCTACCTTTATAACTGTCCACATTCTTCACCAGCATTCCAAGGTTGCTGGGATACACACATTCATTAGGGAAAATATAGCCTTAAAAGTCAAGGTTTCAAGAACCAATACCAAAGGCATCAAGAGCCTGTATAAAAAGTAACTTTTAATTTGCCATCAAAACAAGTTTCATAAAGAAACTATTTCAAATATACATTTGGGGATTTCACTAGTAATTCCTTTTACACTGCTGATCCGTGGGAAGAGATGGGGTTTGCTAAGGTTTTTTAATAAAAGGGATATATCGATCTAATTACATTTTATTTAGGTTCTTTAATATCCTCGATTCCTGTTCTTTCTGATGAAATACTGCATTTTTACTGTGCAAACTTTCTATTATTGCTTGATCATCCATTTCCAGCCTAGTGAACAGAGGTCTGGAACTCAACCCATAAATCAAACAGAAACAATATTTCAATGGCAGACAAAAGACTCAGGAAGCCTTGCCAGGCCCTGAGATCAGATTGCATGTCCAGTGCCTCAGCATATTTGAACTTTCAGGGCTGTGCCAAGATTTCCACGCATAGTAATTAGTTATACAGATGAGGTTTGAAGTTACACACATGTCAATCTCAGAATTTCACAAAATGAAGACAAGCTTTCCTGGGGAAGAAAGGCAAAGTCAAGGAAAAAGCCAATCGGATTTGATTTGGGTAATTTGGCAGAAAGTGCAGCGGGACCCACAGAAGCTATTGTGGGTCTCTGTTCTAAGGAAATGAATGATATTTATGGTCTAATAAACTGTGTACCCCACAAGGAGAGGGGTCATGAGAGAGCTGGGCAGGCCTGTAAAGTGGGTGAAGCAGCAGGAAGTCAGACAGGGAGTCAGGTTTCAGGGAGGGAAAAAGAAGCGTGAGTCAAGGTGGCAGGACATCTAGAAGTGCTTTAATCTGCAGCTTTCAATCTGCATGAGAAACGGGACCATAAAGCCTGGCATCAGGCTTACCTGAGAACTACAAAGTCTCTGGAAGGATGGGGGGCCATGCTATTCAGCACGTACTGATAGATTTCGGTTTGTCTGTCCAGAGTTTCCACCACCTTCCACTGCACGAAGTCCTCATCCCATAAATGACGCTCCCTCAGCACACGGTTCAGCACTACGGCGGGGGGCGCCTCCACCTCCACAGCCGCCTTCCACAGCTTCAGCGGGTTCCCATCCCCCACCTTGGGACAGACAGGAACAGAGGCTGAAGAATGCAGACATCTGGGTCCTACCGATACCTACCTACCCTATGGTATCTGATATTTCTGAATATGTAAATTGAAGGAGGAATGCTGCACACCCTTTTAATCCTTAAATTTAAGAGAATAATAAGGATAACCAAAGTACTCATCACTGAAACACGTAGTGTGTACAGTGTGCTAGGCACTGTTCTAGTCCACTTACTTATCAATGGCCCTGTTTTGGACCGTGGTACATTTTTGCAAATGTCCATCTTTGCAAATGAGAAAACAGGCAATGACTTGCCCAACACTGCACAGCTAAAGAGCAGAGCCAGGAGCAGGATCTGGAGGTCTAGCTCCAGAGTCTGGATGCTGATTAGATGAACAGAGCTCCCTAGCAGTCTCTAGACAGGGTTCTTGAATGGTACAGGTACTCTAACTATGGGTAAGCAGACATTTTGGAATTGAAAACAAATCCCTCACAGTTGTATGTGGCTTTGAGGGTTTTACCTTTTTGAAAGCAAGGTCTGTGTTGTCTGGGCTGGAGCATGTGACCCATCCTTTGAACTTCTCCTTGGCTTCTTTCTGGAGGCCTTGGACAAGATGCTCCAGGTAAGTGTGGAAAGTTGCTCCACTCTCCTCCAGCTGTGTCCCCAAGTCCTCCAGGGTAGGCACGTGTATTTCAGCTTCTACATATGAATTACGAGACTGGGCCACCATCTCATGTGGGACCTGAACCAAGAGATGCACAAAAGAGCAACACACTGAGCTAAGGAAATTCTGGGATGAATAGTTAGAGGGAGCAAAGCCATTTTGCCAACAATCAGGGTCTGAGAAAAAGGCTGAGGGCTACAGAGATGGAGATATTTTACTAAGATCAGTGCCAAGGTTGGGAGTGGCTTTCCTAAAGTTAGGAAATACAAGCATGTTTCTGAGGCTATTTTTATTATTGAAAACATTTCAATGACTTTCTGTTCATTCTTTCCTATTTCCTTTTGTTTTCCTTTTGATTTGTTTTTATTTAGTGTGGCAAAATGCAGGATCAGAAAACTTGACTCAGTGGGAATAGATAATGCACACAGACTTGTTAAAAGAAGCATCAAATATGACTTAGAAATAGCTTTACCTTTTTAGCATACTTTTCCACTGACATATGCCAGCTTAGCACAGAATGTCTGCCAGAAGTCTTGTTCACTTACTTCTTTAACTTATCTGTCTTTGCTAAGCTGTCATTGATTCTTAGTAACAAGGATTACTTAGAATCACACACACACACACATGCACACACGGACAATGTGGAGTCTAACACACACACACACACAAACATGGACAATGTGGAGTCTAATCAAGTCCACAATAAAATATGGTACAACATAAATGGATGACTGGCCTTCAACCTAGCAAAGGCAAATGGTGAAACTGTATGCAAACCATCCTTGTGTTGACCTCAATTGTCTTTAACTATCAAAGCCGCGATTGTATAGCTAGCCCCTCACATTTCTTAGAGGCAAAGACCAGAGCTATAGAGTATACTATTGTCAACATAAAAACAGATAGAAACTATAAATGTATCCACCATTCCCAGTGTCTTATCTAGTTCCAAGAGTTATAAGGAAGGAGGGTTGACGGGCCGGGGATTTAGCTCAGTGGTTTTGCCAACTGCTGCGGAAGCACAAGGATGCAGGTTCGATCCCTGGTACCAAAAAAAAAAAAAAAAAAAAAGAGGAAGGTGGGTTGAGCCTTTGCTTACCTCAAAAAGTTTGTTGCATTCCATGATCATATGGGCAAGCCCCTGAGCAGCAGCCAGATTCTCATTGAGGTCCTTTTGATCTGGCTTCCCAGTGGCATATTTCTTTTGGATGACTCTGTAATTGAATGTGAGTATGCTGAGAAGATCCCAAACCAAAGAGCTCTTCACAATGCCGAGCTCATCCCTTTTGTTTTCTGTTACTTCCCAGATGCTATCCAGATTCCAGGCATTCTCATTTCCAAATAAAAACAATGACAACACATCCTAGCTATTCTGAGGTAGGCTAACAGTCTGCCAGTTTACAACCAAAAGCCTTGGAAAAATACAGGGACAGAAGGAATTGTTGGTCGGGGAGAGATTATTTTTTCCAAAGTTTGAAGCCATTCAACTGCAAATTCCTATGCTTGGGTTTTAAATATAGCCTTTAAAAATTAAAGATTGTAAAAATACCACTTTATGTACTTTTTTCTTCCTTCCAACTTATGCTCAGAAAACAAAACAAACTCTTCAGGCTTTCTAGATCACAACTGACATTCTCCAGTGCTCCTTTGATAACTCTATGAACCTGTGCACCACAAATGAGGTTGCTTCTGAACATAATCCAATTATAAAATGAGAGCTGACAAATCCCCAAGTTGAAATCTAGCATGAGAAAAGTTTTATTTTTCTTTATGAACTGTAGAGGAGGCCTGGTTGAAGATTATTGCCATTGCTGAGGAAAAACCCACCTTGGAGAGCTTTCTTTCTTCGATAAATTAAGATGGAAAAGGGAGGGGGCTAGACACACAGCCAGGTTCATGGGTGTCATCTGATTCTCGTCCACCAAGTTGACAACGTCATTCAGGAAACACAGAAGTGTCTGTAGGACCTCCCTGTTTTCATCCGCCAGCAGCAGGATGGCAGCCTGCACAGCCTGCAGCCGCTGCTCCTTGGGGACAACTGAGGAAACATGAGCACCAGGTGGTCAGAGGGACAGCTACAGAAAGAGCCAGGGAGAGAGCGCAGAAAGTCCACTGACATGAAGACACTCAAAGACATCAACAATGCAGCTGACACACAGAGAAGTAATTGCTCAGGCCTCACAGCTAGTGGGAGGCAACGCTGGAATTCAAACCCCAACAGTGAAACACCAGAACCAGCAGTCTGAATGGGCTGGTGGTACTTTACTTTAGCCCTCCATTTATGTCTACCAATACTTCTTAAACACCGCTTCCAGATTCATGGATCAAAAAAGCAGTGTTGATGAACTTTCTCTGGGAACTGCACAGGGCTGATGCCAGGGGAAAGTCAGGCTACTTACTCAATACCCATTCTCCCTTTCTTCTTCACTAAGAGAACATGTGTTCTGTGTAGAACTCATGGTCTATGAGGGCTGTGTGCTTCCAGATCTAGGGATGAATTACACTGGCTTAAACCAAAAGTGCTGATCACATTCCTCTTTTCAATGACTAATTTAGGAGAGAAGATGTAAACTATTTCTGGCTGAGGAAACCAATAAAAAATTTTTTAGAAGCTTCCACAAGATTAATCTCCCTAATAAAAAGGGACATATGCCCAAGGAGAAGCCCGTTCTCATTCATCTTACATTTGAATGTAAATTTGTGAAGGTGTAAAAAAAATAAGTTGTGACAATTGGGGCTGGGGATGTAGCTCAGTGGCACCATGCCTGCCTGCCAAGCACAAGATCCTGAGTTTGATTCCTGGCACCGGGAAAAAAAACAGTGGTGGCAATCATATTGTGACCTCCAGGGGAAAGTCAAGAGAAACCGATTTTGCCCTTAGCTGCAGAATTACCTAATAATGGAATGGTTTAATTCCAGATTTCTTATAAAATGAGATAATAAACTGTCCTTATTACTTAAACTAGTACTTGTTAGATTTTTGTTTCTGCCTTTACAGCTGAGAACATCATAGGTGGAAAAAATCTTTAATACCTACAGGTTTCCTGATGGTTAATGAATCAAGTATAAGCCCACTGTCCTAATTTTCAATGCCTGTCTTTGAATAGCCCTGGCCTAATTTTTCAGTGTCATCTGGTATCACACTGTAAATTTCCCAGCTATGCAGGACAGACAAATACCCCGTGCTCCTTTGACATATGCTCCTGTAGTTTGCTTTATCCAGAATATGTTCCTTACATATCTCAACTTTCAGTTTTTACTTTCTTCAGCAAGTTCTACTGCTCATCTCAACTTCCTTGAATTTGTCTTTGTGACCTTGCTATGGAATTTCTCCAACTTTGTTATAGTGTAGTCACTTATGTTCATGTCTCATCTCCCTCAGCTGTAAAATCCTTATGCACAGAGGGTGAGTCTCATATATCCACATGCTTGGCAATGCAAGCACATAAGGCCCACTTAGCAAATGTTTGCTCAGCTAAAATAAAGTTCTGCTTTGATCTGGCTTCTTGGCTGTAAGTCCTAGAAAGAGCCAAAGGAATTTATTTCTTGGAAAATAGTCTAATTTTAGTATCAACTTCAACTCAAGAACTGATTTAAATGTAAAGACTCATGTGTGATACTTCTCAACCATAATGGAGCTTAACTGGGAAACAGAGTTCAACCTTGAACAGCAGCACTGTCGTGAACGCCCTGTGTTTGGGCTCTAGCAATGTGTACCATTAATTCAATTTAACCTATTCCCTTTGGCAAAATAATATTTATTTAATGGGTTACCACTTTATTCTGTTTTTACAAGTGGTTCTAACTAAAATCCTTTTTGATTTTGCAATGTTATCCTCTCCTTAAACATATTTACTACAGAAATCTCTATAGCAAGGAACTTCAAATTGGATCAATTCCATGTCAAGGCTCATTTCAGCCACACTTTGCTATAAAATCAAAACCCATCAACTAAATGTAGTTTTATAAAGAATTGAGAGTTGGGCGATGAAAATAATTCATAACCCTAATGTTATTGCATCTAGAAAAGATTTACATGTTTATTTCTACTATTCCACTTGGCACCTCTCTTGAGCAGGACAGGGTTTTATGTCAATTGTTATTTTCTTTGTTAAAAATTTTAGTTTATTAGTACATGTGTATAGTACATAATGTTCACATTCCTTGTGGCAAGTTGGTACCTGGATATAACACATTTTAATTTCTTTTTCATCTCCTTTCTCTTCCCTTCTTTCCCTCTCCACTCATCCCTTGATGTTCTGTGATCCCCTCCCTTTGTTATTTTTTGGTACATGTTTGCAGTACATAATGTTTACATTCCTTGTTCCTTGTGTGGAGTTGGCACACGCACACAACACATCCCATTTCCTTTGTCATCTCCTGCCTCCTTCCATCTCTTATCTTCAATGGTTATTTTAATTTTCATAACTTCACTGAGAGCTATTAACGTCACTTAAAAAATTCCAAGGGAGGATATAAATTAGCTGCATTAAGCCAAAGACTTCATTTGGTTTCCTTGCTTTTCACCAATTAAAATACATTCTCTTTGTTATTTCTCATCTTTCTTTTTCATGTATTTGGGTTTGAATTTCCTATATTACAGGAAAATGTTTACTTTCTAAAACCATTATATAAGTTTTAATAAATACATATGAAATAAATTCTGTCATGCCCCTTTTTCATTTTAAATTTATTGAAAGTAATAAAAGTTTTAGATTTTTCACAAAACCTTATTTAAAAGTAATATTCTACTGCATAAATATTTTATTTCTAATATTCCTCATTGCAACTACCTTGAGCAGGATAGGCTTTTCAATCACCAATTGTTACTTTCAATGGTTATTTTAATAACCATAGCTTTGCTGAAAACTACTGATTTAACATCACTTAAAAATTCCAAATGAAAATATAAGTAGCATGAAGATTTTTTTGGGGGGGATCGAACTCAGGTCCTTGTACTTGAGCAGCAGGCAGCGAAAACACTGAGCTAAATCCCTGGCCCTGGCATGAAGATTTTGATAGCAAACTGTGAACAAAGGTTACTTTCAGAGAGTAGGAATATAAGCTTCATATATTACTTATATTATTAAAATTCAATCTTTAGGAATTTTTGTAAATGGGTGGATGCGTGAGGACACGGATCTGTATTATTTCCACTTACACTGGTAGATGTGGAGGAAGGTTTCATTAAGCTTGTTGGTGAAAAGTGGCTCAGGGAGGTCCCGGAAGAACTGCTTCACCATATCTGCTACATCATAAGCAGATTGGTCTTCATAGCTGACATTCTCGGGAAAGCTCTCATTCATTTGACGTAAGGCATGGATTCGAGACTTCACTCCTGACTTGCGGAACAGACCCACCTGAAACAAGCCACAGGGATGTATTAGCCAGTCCATCCTTTCCCTAACATCTTTACACACGTACCCTGGGTATGTGAAGAAGGCCTGGCACCAGGACTGGATGGGCTAGAACTGCATCCTAACTCACAAATTCTGAATGACTAGTGTAGCTACATTAGACAGCCACCAAACACTGACTTCTTTTCTTATAAGGTGAAGGAAAGAATAATACCCCACATTATAAGCCTGTTGTGGGGACTAAGTAAGAAAACATATATGAGTGTGCTTTGTGATTTGCCAAGTCTCATCACACTGTACATGCTACTATTTGATTCATTTATTCAACAAGTAATGATTAAATACCCACTATGTACCCTGCACTCTTACGCTAGGAGTCACTAGTGAGCACAGCAAACAAAATTCCCTTTATTAGTCACAGTTTCAAGATTTTGAACTGTGATTCAAGATTTTGAATTCTATCAAATAGGAAGTTTGGTGAAAGGAAGGATCCCCAGATTAAATAACTATATTCAGTGCCTCTCTGGAGAAGTTCATGGGGAATATGTTCATGAGTGTGTGTGTGTGTATATATATATATATATACACACATACATACATATATATATATATTTATTTATTTATATGAACTCAATTTTCTCCATGATTCTGGTCACAAACTGAACTAGATGAGAACTGAATCAAATTTCTCCATAAGGTCAATATCAAACCTGAGCATTGAATTTGATTCGGTTCTTGTCCAGTTCAGTTTGCAATCAGAATTGTGGAAAGAATCAAGTTTGTGAACCGAGGTACCATTGACATAAGGGACTTTTTGGTTTTCTTCTTCAGAATCCTTGACACCTGTGATATACACGCTCATATTATGCTTGGCACTTACTGCTTTATCTGGCTAGTTATTATGCATATGTGCTGCCTAGTGAGAATGATGCCTGAATGATCGTTCAGACATTATCCTATCATGCCCTTTTCATCTCTAGAACTTAGACTCTTCTGTATTTGACAAACACAGCAATAAAGCCAAAAAGATAAGGGCCCTGATAGGAATGAGTGAGGGTGAGCAGAGCCCTCATCACAAGAATAAAGATGCTGCCATGGTTGGACAGATTAAGTTTAGGTTCTCTGGAAGTGCTCCCCACCCTGAACTTGGCTCTGAAAAAGAACTGAGCTTTCCTGGGAGCCCTGGCTTCCAGTAAAAGATTATATCTGCCATTTTAAAATGCCTAGAGGGCATCAAATTGCTCAAAACTCCATCTTTCAACACTTGGTCTCCAGTCCTCTATTCTCTAGTGGGTCACAGGTTGACTCACAACCAAGGTGAGAATGTTCCCAAGTGGTTGGACAGGTAGGCAGGGGCCCCTTGGATTGGCCATTGCTCTTCCTCCCCATACTTGGAGAAACCCAGGAGCACAGTTTTGTCATAAGCCCCTCCGTGTGCCAAGTTGACACCTTGACCCAAGTTCAGGATACCTTGATTATTGCAATAAATGAGAGCAGCTCTGATTCTTTTAAACTGTAGTAAGAATAAGGTAAGAATTAAAGTCATCAGAGAATTATTTGTTTCTGCAGTATTAGGGATTAAACCCAGAGCTTTGCACTGAGATACATCTTCAACCTTTAAAAATTTTTTTAAGACAATCTTTCTAAGGCACTAAGTTGTCCAGGATGGGCTTGTTCTTGTGATCCTCCTGCCTCAGCTCATTTTTATCCACATCAGCTATATGGACTGCAGAGGAATTAAATACTGCTGCCCTTTGTGGCCATAAAAAACAAAAGTCTTTGTAATAGTTGTTTTCATTCTAAAGCTTATCACTCTAATTCCTCAGATCAGGATATTCATGCAAAATATCACTTCAACTCTCAATTACTTTCTTTTTTGTTCTTAAAGTTCAAAATGTCTAGAAAACACAAAACTCTGCCATACTTAGATTATTCTTCACAAAGAACCTAAGGAGCATTTGTCTTTCTTTGTCTGGCGACTACTCCAAATTTCATCAAAGTACGAAGGAAGAAAGCATGCATGACGTCAGATGGGTGTTCACTGCAGTGAGAACCATCTTAGATTTGCTACATCATTGAATTGTATAATCCTGGAAGGAGGCCAGCACTGTGACCATCACAGAGCTTTGCTCCACTGGAGTTCTCAGAGTCTTACTGCCCTGAAGACCAATATTAGTGTGACTCACTAATATATATCCTCACACAAGTTGGTATTATTCCACTTGAGAAGAATTCCTAGTTTTTATATAGCAGAGAAATATTGATTAGGAGCTATGAAGAGTGTTTGTGCTTAAATTGTTCCCCTTTTGCCCTTTTGTGTTCTGTTTCAGGGTCATCACTGATAGGGATGCACATACATCCCAGGGATGTTTCCTTTGTATTTTCAGTTTCCAAGTTTCTTTCTCACTTTGGCACATAGCATTTTAATTATTTTAGACATATCTGGAGCTCTCCAGCTGCAAGCTCTGAGCTGCCTGCTCTGACTTGAGCTTATAGGATGTCTAGAGGGTTGTCAAGGATTTATTTGTTCCTCAACTTTTGACAATAACCTTCTGGCTCTGCCTTTATCTTCCAGGGAATGTGGGAAGTTTCTGTGGATTTTTGTTGGATGTCCAAAAGGAAATTTCTTTCCTAAATCTGATGAAAGGTAGCCTCAAATCAGACCAGATTCCAGATATAGCAGTTTAAGAATGGCAGAGGAGAAAGATGTAAAGAATCACAGTCTTCAAAGATATCAATGAGCTGATAAATAAACCAACCCTGGGACCATACTATCTTCTGACTCTTTGTTATTTTTTTTTATGTGAGATCATTAATTTCCTAATGTTTAAATGATTTCCATTTTTTGACTAAAGATTTTTTTCTAAGTAAAAAATGAAGAGCTGAAGAATTCTATTGCTTCTAGCAGCATACTCCTTATCACTATTGATGAAAAATGACCCAGATCTCTCATCTTCATGATGAACAAGACCCACTGAGGATGACCTGTCTTTCACTTGCCTCTGGATATGTTACTAGTGGATAGGTGACCTGGCAGTTATACAAGACCCCACACTTGGTTGAACTTCTCAGTTATACATGAATAAGGAATTCTAGAACTTCATTTTGCACTGGGTCCCACAAATTTCACACAAGGTCCTGCAATCATGTGCCTTCAAAGCCTAGTTCAAAGATTCTCTCTAAAAAGTGAATAATGGTAGCCACCAGTGCAAAATCCATCTTCTTTTTGGGGGGAGGTACTGAGGATTGAAGCCAGGGACTTTTACTGAGTTACACCTCCAGCCCTTTTTTAATTTTTATTTTGATACAAGGCCTTACTAAGTCACTAAGTTGCCTAGGCTAAACTTGAACTTTTGATCTTCCTGCCTTAGCTTCTCAGAGTGCTGAGATTATAGCAATGCACCACTATGCCCACCTGCAAAATCCATCTTATAAGCATCTCTCTTACCCATGCTGTCTTTCTTCATCTAAGGATAAGAGGATGAATGTTCTAATTTTATCTTTTCTTTATTTCATCTTCCATCTAAAAAACTAGCTATGAAAAGCAAGGAGTGAAGGTATAATTTAAATAGATGGGCCAAGATTTATCTCTCATGTTATCTGAGGTAGGCAATAAGCAAAGTGATGAACAGAAGAGATTGAATGCATTCAGGGTGATATGGCAGTGAACAGCAAAGTGATGAACAGTAACAGAATAGAGGACCATCTTGCTGAGTACAAAGTATATTCCCAAGTATAATTAGGCTTTTAAAAACGTACTGCTCCATTAGAGGGAGCGGTTGGGCATGAGTGCTACATTAGAATTCAAATTTCATCTAAATAATATTAAATCTCCTGGCATCCTGTTTATGCTAATCTTTTCAGGGTTTAATGATATTTATCAGGACTTCCATTTCCTCTTCTTCAGAAATGTGCTCAGATAATGAAGAAAGGTTGGCTTTATTCAGAAACAGATTTATAAGAAGAGTGTGTAGCAGATTCTAATTTTGAGCACTGCAGGCTTTGTGTCTCACTGCAGTGACTTCATATTCGTCAGGACACAGGTATAACCTATGCGTCTGTGGACAATTGATTTAGGGCAGAAATAAAAGCTCAGACAACAAAGCAAGGCTCCTCTCACACACTGCTATGTATGAATACAAATGATTTGTAATTGAAGGCTGAACTTCTTCATTTCATCTACAGCCATCTGTAAGGACGAAAATGGATACACTGTGCTTCATCATATATAAGCTGTTCTGCATTGGTGAGTGTGGGAGGTGAAATGCTGGCAATGTTTCATGGCTCTGTGAGGCTGCAGTCAACTATTTCTGATGAGTACTTATATTCAAAATAAATGCTTAGCATGAAGGAAAGAGACTGACTCATTGCTGGAAGCCTCCTTCCCCCAAATCAAGGCTGGGGCCTCTGGAAGTCTTAGGTGGTAGTTTCCACTCAAGTGTGGCTTAGAGGAAGGCTGTTTGGAGATGTTCTGATCTCCTGTGACTCTGGAGGCGATTTTAAGGGCCTATGCTGACTTGAATATTCTCAATTCCAACAAGGTTCTACTGGCAAAGAGGATTCATCTAGTGTTTCCCTCCTTCCTCTTGACCCTTGCTTTCTTTTTTTCTGATTCATTAGCTTTCATATGCTTTATATCTGTAGGACAGTCTTTGTTCTGTGCCTGATTTTCTTGGATTTCTCTTTGTTTCTCTAGTTTCCTCTTGTGTCCTTGCCACCTTCCTTTTCCACAGGGACCAGTAAGGTGGCCTCTGTGTGTGTGGAGGAAGGAAAAGGACTTATAAGGCAGAAAATCATGCCAGGATTAAGGTGGGAACTGGCCACAGTGAAAAACCCTTTGACATCTTATAGATACATCCTTGTTTCTGATACAATGGAGGTCTTGCCTTATTCACTTTGATTACATTTAGAATAAGTATTTAAATCCTTGAAATGAATCTTTTTCCTAAAAAGCTTTGCCCCTACAGTTTTTCAGCATGGAATTCTTTCAGATTAAAAAAAATAGCTAGAAACTAGAGATGGACATTGGAGATGAGCCTGTGAATGGATGGTGAGGAGGGTTTGATGCCTACTCTCCTTGCTATTTATATGACTTTCATTCTCTCAAGAACATTTGCTTCAAAATAACACTGGACCCAATTATGACAGTAATACTGGTGCTGTACCTTATACAGAATCTACAAAGGGTGGGAATGGGTTATATTCTACACTAAAGGCTGGGTAGTGAGTACAACAGTGGTATTATTATTCATTTATTTATACCCCACCTTGTTCAAGAAGGAACGTAAGGTGACTTATAATGATCTATAAACTACAATAAGATAAAATTAAATTGAATTAAAGATAATAGAAAGTTATAGCAAGAAGAAAATAAAGACAGAAAAGGATAACTGAAGGTAGGAATGACATTGATGTAAAAATTAATGTCAAAAATTCATATATATTTATTGTAGGCAGAATATGCATTTGGCTTTCAGCTTTCTAGCAGCCAATATAGAGAGGAAAACACACCCAGCTGAATGAGCACTGCTTCTGTAATATAAAAAACAGACCAGTGATCCAAAAGAAAGACAATGTTTTTAAGTGCTAGAGCCAGAGGAAAAAAACATTTTTCCTCCCATTCTCGTGTTCTTTCTTGTGAAAGAACATTACATGCAAAATGAACAATATTATCAACAAAACCTTGACAGTATATTAATCAATGAGTTGTGTAAGGCCATCAGCATCACTTAGCACTGGGACGGCATTGAGCCAAAAGCCACTGAGGAAAAGTAATTCTAACAGTGTAGTGGAGGACAGTGGTTTAAAATTTAGACTCTGGAGTTGGCAGATTTACAAGCAAGTGTTAACTTCATCATGGAGACCAGGTGTTAACACTGCCCAGGGTGGATACGGAATTGAATAAAGCAAGGAAAGCAGAACACTTAGTACACTTGCCTCAAACATGCTGGGCAGTTGAGAAAGGCTATTGTTGAATTAATGGCATAGATAGACTGCATTTTCCTTTAGGCAGTCCTGAAAAACACCATTTTCTCTTAAAAGAATTTTTGGTGATAAGCATTAGTTGGCTATGCTTTTGGTCGAAAATATTCTTTACGCTTAGTGAAAGGGAGAAACAAAAACTCAAAAGGGAGGTAAGTCTGTAACACCTTTACAAAAATTTTCATGTGTCTGAATCAAAGGCTACCTTCCACAAAACACAATCTTGGCTCTTTACTAACAAACCAGTTAAAATATAATTGAAACCACAGAATTTTGTGTCAAAGAATATAACATATTTTTAGGATTGAAAAAGAGATCAGAATGGGTATTTCCAAATATTCACCAAGCCTACCTCTCTGAATTTTTCTCTCAGTGAAATACATATAGAACACTAACTGATTAATGTGTATCCTTGGTAGAGTCTCTAAAATTTAAAAGATATTATATGTAAGTAACTAGATTTACTGGCTTGCTCTGTTGGAATGTCGCTCACAAGTCAATTACTGAGGCATGTGTCAAAGATGGGCATTCTATTTTTAAAGTAGTTTGTTGTCCTTCTTTTTGGGAAATAAGAAGCAAGCTAATAAAGGTATTTTTCAAAATCCAAACAGCCATCATCATCATGACAATAACAGCAGCCGTCCATTGGCTATTGTGCAAAAATGTATATTTGTATTTTCTCTAGATGAGAAATTGGAATGGTCAAAGGGGATCATGAATTCATTTCAATCAAAGATGATTTCAATGAAGCGGTTGCTCCTATTTTGCTCCACTGAAAACTGGCACTTAATTCATCAAGATATCATCTTGCTTCTAAGTGTGTTCTTGATTTTTGTGTCTCTACAGTCATCAGTAGCCAAGATTTTTGAGTTTGTGTACTTTAGCTCATTCCTGTCCACTTAGCCCAAGGCCAAAGGTAAATCTATAAAAAGTGCAAATAATCTCAAATTGGTATGGATTCATCACATGCCATTAAAGAGTGCCATGAACAAAGATCATTATAGAATAGTTTCTCCAAAACTCTCTTGTTCCTCAAGGTTGCAATTTATGAAGCAGGAACATGGCTTTCCTTTTGGACAGAATGTCTATGAAACTACAGGAATGGGTATTAATCTGGAGGAGGAAAAGTTTTGTTTTGTAAATTATAAGATGAATTTCACTCTGGGCCTAACCACAGTTCACAATTATGGTGGTCCCTAGACAGTTTGGAGGTAGAAAATGATCTCTGAATATTTTGTTTAGTGAAAGCTTTACAAAGAACTCCTTAGGTCAGGGGACATTCACTTAATTGGTAGTGTTTTCATATTTTACCGGTACATTTTAAAAAGATATAAATCAATCTGTCTTTGGTTTACAATTTCTTGGTCATGTGCTGCTTCAAAAATTGATAAAAGGGGGCTGGGGATTTAGCTCAGTGGTTCCGCCTGCCTCGCAAGCACAAGGTCCCGAGAGTTCGATCCCCAGTACCGAAAAAAAAAACCTGACCAAAGGATTGCTGGGAATTTACCGTAGTGGCACCGCACCTGTCTCACAAGTGCAAGGTTCCAAGTTCGATCCCTGGCACCTCTCAAAAAAAATTGATGAAAGGAGACATAAAAACCAATATTTTTTTCAAAAATAATATAATAGGGATAAATTATGCTGTAAAGTCATTGGTTCCATTGGGACAATAATTAAAAAGCAAATGCAGTAATTGCTTATGTCCCACTTTCTAGGGTACACAAATTAAAGATTACATTAATACTATTAATATTAACTTTTTGCAGTCATTCTAGGGTGTCGCTGAAGTAGGAGTGAACATCCTCAAATATCTTGACAAGGTTGTAGCCTAATGAAATCAAGTTTTCAAATGTAAGGGGCACAATGCTTTTTGTTTTCAGTGAGACATGTCTTGCTTATACTGCAGTTTGACTCAGTCTGGCATTTTGTTAATCTGAGTCCATGTTTGGGTTATGTAGCCTTACCTGATCGAGGCAGTTGCTGCGTAGGTAGATCAGTGCTTGCTGAATGCTTTGAGGCAGAGGTTGTCTTGATCTCTGGACGTGGACTATGAGAGGAACGCCAAAGACAGCTTTGTCTTTGTAATCAGGAACTTTCGTCCTCTTCATAAACTTTGGCACTGACCTAGAATTCACAGAAACCAGGTCATGCAAGGCCCCTTGGGCACAGTGCAGGGATAGGCTGCGGAGGCTAGTGAAAGGGAAACCAAGCTCTTGTTGGAATAACCCACAGGCACAGGGAGAATTCAACATTTTCTCTCCATTAATCACTCTACGTGGTACTCCTATGCGTGGTCTCTGGTTATGTGTTATTTCTATTCAACAGCATTATTCGTGTTAGCAGAATGTATTTATAGCCCTGTTTTCAAGTCAAGTGGATAACTTTCCAATTTAATTGTGACTAATACATCCTTCAAGTGTTGAACACTTAAAGGTTACCAACAGAACAAACTAAAACATATGTAAACATTACAAGAGGAAGAAGAAATCTGGTTGGGGTTGGGGGAGAAAAGTGAGGGGAGAAGGTGAACCACATTTCTTGCTTTCTAGAGCTGGTTACACTTTTTAATAGGGAATTTTAATAAACGTATATTGAGTTGACCATACAGTTCATAACCTTCTAAAATATTTCTATAAAAGCACCACTGATTCTTTTATATACATGATATATAACAATTATTGACACATTTTATATTTTTCATTTTCACCAAAACATCTACAGTAGTTTCAACCTGTGCTTTTTGTTAACTCTTGTATTACAAAGATTTACTGTTGATATTCTAGTTTTTATTTGCCAATGAAATAAAGGTTGAAAGTATTTGAAAAATTAAATGCTCTCTGAACAAATCAATGGTTTAAATCATAAATTCCATTTTGGGCCAGAAGGTACAAGAGACAGATGTTTTGTCTGCAAACTGCCAGAATTATTTTATGGCAAGTTTACTTTTAATTCTTCTGTTCACAATTTGTTGAACTTTACTTGTCTCTTTTTCTTTCTTTCTTGGAGCCTGACTGACTTCCCTGGAAACCAACTGAGAGATACAAATAAAGTAATGCTTCCTGCGAGCTTCATTGCACCTGAGCTGGGCAGCCCAGAAGGTAGACAGAAAGGCTGGACTCACTCGGGTGTGTAATTTCCCGCAAATGGAGTGCAGGCAAAGAACAGGTTCTTTATAAAGACACCAGGGTGTAAACGCTGAAGTTCTTGCAAGTGCACACTCAGCCCTGAACACACAGTCCCCCGGAAATGTGCTACACACCATGTCCAGCCGTGCTTGTTGGACATGGAGTACTTCTCCATGATGGCAGTGAGGCGCAGCAGGGAGAAACGCTGGAGCAGGTTCAGCTGGCTGGCAGTCTGGCTGCTGATATGGGGTGAGGCTGGGGATGGCTGAGGCTGCTGCGAGGGCTGGAAGCTGTTCCACTGTAGCCGCCTGGAGCAGGAAGAGTGTCAGAGAAGCCAGTCACAGAGTGGACTTGTTGCTGGGAAACACAGGATACCTCTTGTGTGTAAGAGGCTCACCAAAACTGTTTCTGAGCCGAGATCACAAAGCAAATAACTGGTGACATAAATGTGCACAATTCACGTGAGAAATGATTTTTTTGAAGTTGGATGAATCTAAGTAAAAGTTATATTAACTCATTATGGGGTTTAAATAAATGATAAACTTATTTGTTTATTCTCAGATTTGTTTCCAAAGTGTTAAGAGCAACTGAGACAGTGTGAATGTGTTTGTGTGTGAAACAGAGAGGGAGAGACAGACAAAGACAGAAAGAGAGATAAGGAGAAAGGAGAGACACACAGAGAGAAGAGAGAAAGAGACAGAGAGGGAAAGAGAGAGGGAGAGAGAGCGAGAGAGAGAGAGCGAGCTGGAGGAGTGTTCTCAAGCCTTGGGGCTGCAAAGCATTTCACGCTGCCTTTCATGCCTCTTGCTCTAACTCTCATTTGTGGCTGAGATGGAGCCCGAAGGTGACAGGTTCAGATGAGAACACATCAATGACTCTACCATCACGGCCTCCCAGAGTCATTTTCTAGGGTGTTTCTGAAGTGGTCTCTGTAAATCAGTTTTTATATGGTTTATAATCAGCATCTCAAAGCAAAAACAACTTACCAAAATACATGCCTTAGATCTCTTCTATTTCTCATGGGGTTAAAAAAGGTTCAAAACTGGAAGCAGAGACATTATTTTTTTGTACCGGGGATTGAAAAAGACATTTTAACTAATATGTTTTAATGGGATGGAGAAGCCCTGGCATAGGAACTGGGTCTCAGTTATTCATGATTCCCCACGTATGGTACCTGACATATGGCTTTGCATATGAGAGACTCAAAAATCCTTTGAATAAAACTAAGATCAAAATTAAGGGTAAACAGTTAGATAAGAATGTGTGTTGACATGGATGCAATTACCGCATCTGTACAAAAGACATATTTCCATTTGAGTGATTCAAAACTGTATTATCATTTTGGATAGTGTCAGGCATTTAGTAAGTGTCCTATCCATGTGGTTAAGGAAATAAACATTGCATGATTACTAGGATGAAACATCTTGTCACAAAAGTGTGCCACTCACCTGCTTGGCCTGGTCAGAGAGGCCCCCACACCAGAATCCCTCCTTTCCCTGACCCCTGTGGCCTCGGATTCATTCAGAGATGTTCCATCTCTTTCCACATCGCTGGGTGTTGTCCGACCTTCTGAGACAGAGTTGCCTTCAAAATCTAAGGTAATCTGATTAGAAGATGGAAAGGGGTGCAAACCAGGTTCCCCAACCAACGGGTCATGAGATTGCAGGTCAGGCAAGACATTTTTGGACCAGTCATCCACCACCTCTTGGAGCCCACTGACATGCTGCAGAATGTCATCCAGTTGAGGGAAGTCTTTCCCCAAGTCCAACAGGTCTCCTGTACTGGCACACAGATGGGAGCCAGGGACGTTGTCATAGACACTGACTCGGCTTGCTCTGTGGCAGGATGCCATGAGCCTGGGCTCCCTTGTGCCAGGACCTTGTTGACTGCCCAGCGAGATGTTCCCGGTCCTCCAGTTAACCCCATTGCTGTTATCTGTGGGTGAGAGGCTTTCAATAGAAAGTGCCTTGGGAAATGTTCCTGGTTTGTGATCCTTGGGAATGTGTACCACCAAGTTCTCTTGGGAGTGAAACCCATGTGTGTGGTTTTGGCCTCCTGCATCTCGTAGTGCTGTCCCTGACAGGACATCCAAGTCCTCCAGGTACATGCCGCTGCGCTTGTTGGCCTCATGGTGGCATTTCCGTTCCTTCAGGCATGGAGTGCTCACCCCACTGCTGCTATTCTCTGAGGGGCTGCTCTCGCCACTGGATTTGCTGGAGCACGGAAGTCCTTTTCTGCAGACAGCAGGGGGTGAATTCCGGAGATCTCCATTTGGTATCTGGATGCACTGCATGGCCTTAAAGGACTCTGGCTCCTGTTGCAAAACAGGTCCACTGATCACCAAGCCACCTGTCCGCCCTGACCCCTTGTGTCTTCCGTGTGCTCCCTTGGCTCGGAGCGTTTCCATGCGTTTCAAAAATGATTTGGCCCGGGTCCTGGTGGGTTTCTCATTCTTAGGGTAGAAAGGGTAGTTGAGAATGTCCCGGGGGTTCTGTGGGAGGCTGCTGCTAACTAGGGTACCCTCCAGCATGCCCGGGCTGTCAGCACAGTACTGGCCTGACTGGCTCCGGCTGTCGCTGCCTCCGCTGCTTTCGCTGTGAATGGAGCAGACCTCAGGCTCACTCAGGTCTGTGAGGACGCTCTCACTGCTGGTGGTGTTTCTCATCCTAGGGCCTCCCGGTGACCCATTTCTGTCTCTCCCAGGGAACAGTGTGTGCAGGTCGTCCACACGAGACCACCTGCGGCTGGTTCTTTGGAAAGTCCATTTGTTGCTGATACAAAGATCTTCCTCATCTGAGTCATCACCCTGCAAAACATCAAGGAAAATTCTCAGTTTTAGGGTGCTTGACTGCAGGTGACCAGGGCAGGAATGGCTTCAACTCCTGTTGTTCCCCTCCCTCTGTCTTTCCATTCACACAGGGTGTCCTGGGAACCCCTGCCTGGTTTCTCCTCCAGGGTGTGTAATTTCCCGCAAATGGAGTGCAGGCAAAGAACAGATTCTTTATAAAATACTGTATAAAATTACCTTCAGGCTATGTGCATAAAGGTGTATATGAAATATAAATGAACTTCATGTTTAGACTTGGAACCCATCCTCAAGATATCTCATTATGAGTATGCAAGAATTCCATAGTCTAAAAAAATCCAAAATCTATATAACTTCTGGTCTGAGTATTGTAGATACTCTATCTGTAGTCTAGGTTGGTCTGTTTCATATTATTAACCATGTTGTTTGTGACCCACCAAAAATGCACAAAAGGGCCATGGTCTATAGTGTGCAAAATGTGCTGTACTAGAATTTAGGTTCTTTTGATACATTTGGGACCGAACAAAGTATCAGGCCCATGACAGACTCTCCAGTAGTATTTGTGAAAGTATACTGATTGCTTAAAAAACTATCAGATTTCATCTGTTTGGTCATGATTTTGAGGTTACAAACAATTTGTGATTATTTAGAAATGTAAAATGGAGCTAAGAATCAGATGTATTTATGAAGTAAGGGCACTCCAAACTAATTTTATTTTCCAGTTTTAAGTTTGGTAGATCATGCACGTACTATGGACACAGAACATCAAAATTTCAGCAGACAGTGGACACGAGACCCTCAGGATACTGTTGAGGCTAGGATGGCCAACTGTGCTTGATGTTACCAGAATTTTGTTAGTTAATTGTGGAGCAAATCCATCGAAGAAAGACTTCGGGATTGAAAGACTTTGAGGGCAACTGAGGGGGAGATCTCTGCAGGTAGGCCTCAAAGTTATCGCCATTTTAAGAAGAACTTCAGTGAGCTAGAATGCATGCTTTTAAAATATAAAGATGGCACAAAGTTATTCACTAAGGGATCTTGATCTAGATATACTATTTGAGACTCAGGTTTCTCAATTGTAAAATAAAAATGAAAATAATACACATCTAACATGGCTCATCAGCTGCACCAAATGAGGCCATATGAAACAATGCCGCCTAAACCATAGTGATAGAACTAATTATCAGCAGGGCACAGTGGTACACACTTGTAATCCCAACTACTCAGGAGGCTAAGGCAGGAGGATCGCAAACTTGGGGCTAGCCGGAGGAATTCAGTGAGAAACTATCTCAAAAACAACAACAGTAACAACAAAAGAATAATTATCATTACTGATGAACAAGAATACAGGGTGAAATCTCTAATCCAAAAGCCCAAACTCTGAAATAACTTGGAGTCTAAGATTTTTGAAAGCCAATGTGACACTACAAAACACACACCACAACACAAAAAAATTTGTTTCGTGCACAAAATTACTAAAAATATTGTACAAAGTTATCCGTAAACAATGTAGATAAGGTGTATATGAAAATTAAATAAATTCCATGTTTAGACTTGGTCATTATCCCTTAGATATCTTATTATGCATATGGCAGTCTTCCAGAATGTGAAAAAGATCTAAAACCCAAACACTCTTGGTCCCCAGGATTCTGGATAAGGGATCATCTGTACTGTATAAATATTTTACCTAATGTAAGGATTATCAATTCATAGGCTGATATTTCATGAAGCAAAATATAATGATCTTAACTTTAAAAATCAACTATAAGATGTATAGAATAGAATGGATTTAGTTCAACAGCTGTTTCAGTTTACAATGCTAAGAGTTTTGGCAGATTTAATCTTACCGTGAATTAGCCATGAAATATGGCTACCAAAGATGCCATCCTTGGGATGCATAACCAGAGCAGGAAACTCAAGACTTGGAAGATTAGAGCACACTGTACTTTCACTGGCCATATAAATCAGGAACTTTGGGCTCTTTCTAAGGGCCATATTTTAAGGGGTGCATTAGGGGTGCCTTGAAGAGCAATTAGGATGGCCAAAGATCTAGAAACTACAACCTTCTGTGAAGAACGACTGAAAGAACCAATAGTCTGACTCAGAAGCAAGGAACTCTAGACAGTGCAACTCAAAGTATGGTTAGGGACTGCAGGCGCCCAGACCGCCCAGTCCTCAGTGAGACAGGCACAGAAATTGAGAGCAGGCATTAAAACTATTGGGTACTATTTGACAGGGCTATGCCATCCAAGCTCGAGATTGGTGGATTTGTCTTATTGAATAGAGTAGATCAGCTTGTCTACTATAACCCACAGTTTACTGTTTTACATATAGGCAATCTAAGCTTATAGCTTTGTAATTATAGAGTCCGGCTAAGCATGAAGCCTTGAACATCATTTGAAAGTATGGCATGACATTCTTCATTTTGAATTAAAGATACTTGAAGGAATACCCTAAGCTTTGAAACTGTTTTAAACATCTGAGTTCATTCTAGTTAACCTACTCTGCAAGGGTAGTTTTGTCCTAAGGAGTGGTACCAAAACATAGCAAAAATTTATATATAAACATTATTCCCTACGGATAAGATTGTCAATACTGCTTAAATTGGATAACAAGAAAAAAATCTCATATACTTACATAGTCACAGTGCGTGTTCTAAGTTTATGTATAGGGTAATATAGAAAATTAATTTATTGCTATTTCCATGTAAACTTTTGTTTAGTTAAAACAGATTAAAAACAAAAATTATGAGTACAGTCCTGATTTTTCATACTATACATACTTTTAAGAAAAATACGTAAAATTTGCCATATTTTTAAATTTCCATTATAGTTATTTTGCTTATATTTATTGAAATGCAATTTTGTGTTCATTGAATGTAATTCTGAAACATTTAGGGATATTTTTCTATAATTAAAAATTCATATTTTTGATAATTCATTTGTATTGAATTTTACAAAAGCGTCTGTCTATGGCAGACTGGAAATGAAAATAAAACAAATAAAAAAACCCAGGTAATTCACCACAGATAGATTGGTGAAATTTCTTCTAGACTGAGTAGGGATCAAAATAATTTTTCTGTGAAGGGCTGTACAGTAAATATTTTAGGTTTACAGGCCACATGGTCCTGGCTGCCAATCCTCAACTCTGCCATTGTCTGGAAAACAGAGTGCGAGTATGCTCCAGTAAAACTTTATTTAAAAATTAGAAGCTGTAGTTTAGCAACTTCTACTCTAGCAGACAGAGCTGAGTGGCTGAGTCAGCCTGTTTGGAGACAGGAATGTGCTATTTGGGCTGTGACAGGGCTGAGGAACCTGAAGTCACTGGCTGTCCAAATATGAGTGTCCCCAGTGTTTCTCAAATGCCTCTTGGCTGGGTTGTAGTCAATCTTTCAGCGAGGTTCATGGCCAAGATTCAAAATGGAGAACATGAGTTTCCACCTGACTCTCAGAGGCAGGTACAAGAATCTTGAATCCTTAAAGGACCACTTTTCTCTGCTGCAAAATGGCTAGACACTGTTTTGTGGGGGAGTGAGTGCAGTGTCATTTCTTCTGGCGCTTTGTAAGTGACATTTGATGTCCAAGAAAATCCATGCCTAATCAAGTATGAAAAAGGCTTCACCATATTTACTTATTTGTGCACTTTTATGTTCTTCCTTGGGTAAGCCCATCCAAATCTTCAAAATTAAACAAGATTGCCAGGAAGACAATAAATAAATGTGGATGTTAGTACAAATGGAAAGACACAGACCTCTTCAAAAAACAATAGTATAGTTAGTTCACTGACATATTCCTGAAGAAATGTGAGTCCTTTCCAGGTCTCAGGCCAAGGTTCAGAATACACCAATATATTTCTAAATATCTCTGAATGGTGAAGAAAGGCAATTTTGTACCAGAATTCCTGGGTGCAAATTCCACCTGTGCTATTTCTGTGTGGTTTTGAGCAAGTAACTGAGCCCTTTAATTCTTGCACCTGTGACATGGCGTTAACGATAAGGAATAGGACCGGGTGTAGAGAAGGCCTGTGTAAGCATTCACAAACTACGCAAACTATGAGCAAGCCTACATAGCCTTTCATAGGTCCAGCTGTTTCGAAGGCAGAAAAGGGATTGTGGTACTGGACAGTTGAGCTCTTTGGGGAATACATTCTACAGAGTTAAACAAGTCTGGACCTGCTGATTGGAATTGAGGATTCTATTTTAATTTCATGGATTGTTTAAAATAGAGACAGACCCAGAGGAAATTCTGCTGTCTTAGTTTTTTTTTTCAAATAAATTAATTCCAAAGTTGGCTGAAGCTTTATGGGGTATGTGGTTCTCAAATATCACTTTCTAGTTTTGATATTTTGGCTTAGTCTTAGCTCTTATTCACATTTTTTAAATAAAATAAGCAACTAGCTGATAACTTATATAAGGAGCAGATCACAGAAAGGGGCACATCCACATAGTGCCTCCTGCATTTTTGCTTGGACCTGGTCACAGGTGCTGTCATGAGATTCACAAATGGGTGGAAGCTATATGTTGAAATATTTTATTTGAGGGCCGGGGATTTAGCTCAGTGGCTTCACTGCCTGCTACGCAAGCGCAAAGACCCGAGTTCGATCCCTGGTACCAAAAAAAAAAAAGAAATACTTTATTTGAAAATTGAAACCATGACTCTTCAATTTACAAAGTGAAAAGCAATACTTTATTCAAGTGTATGCATTTGTGAGGTCTATAGCTAAGAAGGCTCTGTAAGAGTGTGTACCACTATATCCATTAGAGGAAATATACCAAGGAAGTCAGAATACCAAAACTGATCAATTTACAGAAGGGCTTTTGTGAAGGTAACACACAAAGAATCTAAAAATGTCATTCAACACTATCTTGCTGTGGGTTTTGTAAAGCTGGTGACAGGGTAAAAGCCCAATCAATCTACATTGTGGGAAACAAATCATTAGTTTCTGGTATTTTCTTTTGTAGTACACTGCAGCAAAAGTTGGGTATAGGCAGCCACATGGCTGGGCATCTGAAGGCCCACACTTTAGACATACAGCATGGCTGTGTTCAGTTTAATGTGAACCATGTGTTACAGTAAAAACAACATCTGACTCTCATTCTTCAAATAGTATGTTTGCTTCTCAAGGGGTCTATTGAGCCAGACAGCTGCTGGGAGGTTTATCCCTACATTTTAAATTTGTCTTTGACCTGGACAAATTGCTCATGTTTTAATACTTCTCTGGATACTGTTTTTTATCCCTTTACCTCTTTAGGTGAAATCTTCGGGTCTTAGCTCAAACCCCAAAATGTTTTTAAGATGAGGTCAACCCAGATTCACTTGATTTTTGGGGGGTTCGCATGTATGCTGTTTTAAAGAAGAAATTCACATAAATTAGTTGTAAAGATTAATTTATCCAGGAGTAATTTAAAAATCTACTGGATGTAATGATTTCTTTGTTTAAACCAGAATAAAGAACACTTTGTTTCGACTCAGAGGTCTTTTCTATGCTTCTTCAGAATATACTGAGGCTTGACTTATTACACAGTGCCAAATGAAAAAAGTAGCTGAGAGTGTTAATTCTGAATGTCCTACAAAGGATCAATTCAGTGAGAAAGGGAGGCAATGCTTCGGAGTTTGTTTGGTTTCAGGGTTAGACATGCTAGATGTTGAAACTCTTGTTATGCCACTAGCTGGAATATCATGGGCAAATGACAGGTTCAATTTCCTTGTGTAGAAACAGAGAAGCCCTCCATTTAGAAATTAGATGAGATAATGTGTGGTAAGTACAAAATCTAGCTCCAAGAAAATAGTATGTTCTCAATAAGTTATATGTTGAGTATACCTTACCCAAAATGCTTCGGAGGGGAAAGGTTTGAGATTTTGAAGACTTTTGGATTTTGGGATATTTGCATCAACTTTACTGGCTGAATGTCCTCAATCAGAAAATTTGAAATTCATAATGTTCCCATATCCCAAACTTTTTGAGCATATAAGATATTCAAAAAGTATTAAATTTGGGAACATTATGAATTTTAGATTTTTGCATTAGGGATACTTAACCTGTACCCTTAGTTTCAAAACTGAAATATAGCAGCAAAATTCATAATTTGCCAAACCTTGAAGCAACCTGTATGTCCAACAACTGACAAACAGATAAAGAAAATGTGGTATTTATACACAATGGAGTATACTCTACTATAAAGAAGAATGAATTTGAATCATTTGTGGAAAAATAGATGCACACTGAAAACATAATGCTAAGTGAAATAAATCAGACACAGAAGCTTAAATGCTGAATGGTCCCCTTCACATTAGAAAACCAAAGTATAAACAAAGAAAAGAGCAAAATAAAAGAAAGAAAATGTGGTATCTATATACAATAGAATACTACTCTACCATAAAGAAGATAAATGTGACTTGTTTGTAGGAAAATGGATGTACCTTGAGACCAGTGAAATAAATCAGATACATAAGCATAAATATTCCGTGGTTTCTCTTATCTGGGAAACCCAAAGTATAAATAAAAGAGCAAAATAAAAGACAGATAATAGGAAATAGGGAGATAGAACTTTTTCAAAAGAGAATGAAACGAAGAGATGGAGGGAACAGGGAGAGAAGGGAAAGGTCGGGAAAGGGATAACACAAAGACTAAAGATGTGTTATTTACAATGTACCAACTCACCACAATGATTATAATCATTATGTGCTGCAAATATGTACTAATAAAAAAGAGCACAAGGTATGAAAAAACCTGAAATCTCCAGTCTTGTTCACAGAGGGAAAAGCACAGGCAAAGTCATATACAGAGCAGAGGCTAGAGTGGCTGTTAAAGCCGAACCAAGCTCCCTGTGACTGCAGAAAATTGCAAGGAAAGAGAAAGGTGAGGGATGAGGCAGGCTTAGTAGCCTGTGCTTATGTCGTTCCCTGGCTCCTTCACTCCATCATTAAATGAACCTGCCTGAGGATGGATGCACATTTGACATATAGATGAAACAAAATGCTTTGCAAAGAATGATCTAGGAGTTACTTGGCATAGATTCCTAGATATTTTTCTTCACTCTTAATCTACTAATTATTGTGGAATATTTGAGTCTAATATAGGATTGACATTTATAACTACACAAACTTCTGAAAGATAATTAAAGAATTGAAAAATTTACTTCTTTGTGCAAACCCTCAGATAAAAAAGTAAAGCAAACTGAAATAGTGAACAAACAGATCTCAGCATAGGTTTATAATGGACTTAGTTAAGACAGTTGTAAAAAGATGAGAAATGTTGAAGAAAAAACATAAATAGAAAGGTCTCTCAGAATTTTGCCTGGGTCCATGATGGTTTTAATCTATGAATGCAAGCTGCTTCTGTTGCTCTAGTGGGTGGACACCTACCTTTTTCTTTTGCAAGTTCACATCAAGTTTCATTGAGGCACACTTATTCAACGTGTTTAGTCGTCTAAAGAGAAAGAAAAATGTCATGATTACTACCACTAATAAACCTAAGTATTATTTCTGACTTGATAATCCTCCTTTATTTCCAGTGAGGTTGAAAGTACAAAAACAACAAATGTCCCATGACAGTGTTGTACCCAAGTAGGTAGTAAACTATAAAGCAGTTTCCATTTGTGCTCTGGCCTCCTAACTTGAAAGGGCTCTGCCATCAAGCCTACCAGTCCCTGCCCCTTCTCTAAGCTAAAACCAGTCCTCTTCTGGCTTCTCTTTCTGCCATTCTTGGAACCCATGGGCAATCATTTTAGCTCGACTTTTACCACCACTTCACCTCGTTTGCCTCCTTGACTATCCCCAAATATAGATTAACTCAGCCCTCTGTCTTTTCTCCTTCACTCAGTGAGTTGGGTATACTGCGCATGCAAAAATAACCCACACTACAGTGCTGAATTAAACATGCCATGGACCAAACTGTGTCTCCTAAAACTCATATGTTGAAGCCTAACTCTCCCAGTGTGATTTGGAGAGAAGCGGCCATTAAGGGTAAAACAAGATAAAAGGGAGGAGTCTTGATTCAACAGGATTAGTATTGCTGTAAGAAGAAACACCAAAGAGTATGGATGTTGTATTGTCCCCGCATCCTCTCTCTCAGAAACTGAAAGAAAGTGGCTGTCTGAAAACCAGGAAGAGAGCTCTATCTTCCAGCCTGAAGAACTGAGGAAATAAATTCCTGCTGTTGAAGCCACCCATTCTCATGGGGGTTCATGCAGTCTAATCCATACATTTTGATTCTCACCCTTAGAATTGCTGTCCATCAGAATTCCTCCCAAATTGCTCTCCCAAAGTGCTGTCCATCAGAACTCCTTGCACATTCCCCTCTTCTGTTTGGCTCTAAGTCTCAGACCATCAAAAAGTCCCAGTTTCTCAACTGAGGACTTAGCTACTGCTACCAGTGAGCAAACAGATGCTAGTAGACAGGAATTCTTTTAGTAATCTTTCTTTCATCAGACATTATATCTATGTACCCATTTATCCTGCCTCTCTTCTACCTTGCAGGAAAATATGGTCCTACTCTTTTTCAAAGTTAGCCCTTATTTTTTACTATTCCTATCACTTCACCTGGGACTTTGATACCTCATTTATTCCCCCGTACCTCAGCAAACTGTCTCAACTGCTGCCTTTCTTTTTTTTCTTTTCCCATTAAGTTTATTGGTACATTTTAGGTATACAATACAGTTACATTCATTATTGGGATCTTGTACCTTCATATGATGCATCTTGGTTCTTATTTTTACCCCATTCCCGTGCCCTCCCTTCAACCCCTCCACCCTTCCCTATTTACAAAGACTTTGCTTCCATTTTTTCCCCCTTTCTCATATTTTTTTCCTCTTCTTTTCTTTCCCCTATCCCTCCCACTTCCCCTACTCCTTTAGAACTTTTCTTCCTATTTCACAATATCAATTATACATTTTGATCCTATTTTATCTACACTTTTAACTGCTGCCTTTCTTTAAGCCCATTTCTGGCTTAAACCGATTAGCCAGTTAGCTACCTATAAAATTATTTTATTTGATTTCTTTTTTAAAATCACAATTACAAATGTGTATGGTTTAGTCAAATGTTATCTTTGTATCCTTTTCTACCTACCATTCTTTGAAAGCAATTTTTTAAGACATCTTAATCTTTCATGTTAGGTAATTATTAAATTTGTTGACTGAAAGTTGGTAATTGATTTCCCTTTACTTTCTACCCTTTACCCTCCCACGCATACTCTCACTTTTTTGCCTCATCCAACTACAGTTAAGTTATAATTTTAAAAATTTAGGATAAGTCAATATTTAGGGTTTATGATGACTATGGAAATGTTGTTCACATATATCATACTTTGATTACTTTTTCTTTCCTTCTCAACTTTTCATTATCCCTAGAGTTAATAAGCACCTATACACTTTTCTATGTGCTTTTCTGTAAATGCAAACACTTACCAATTACCTAGTCTTCTGTCATATCAGATAGTCTACAAATTTAATTTATTTGGAGACTTTTTGTCTTGTTCTGATTGGGACTGGCTGGCCTTATTTTGTTTTTTGTCACAAACTGATCACATTTCTCAGAACTGAGTTTCCCCTGGAGTGTGTTTTCTATTGTTCTGGAGTGGAGTAATAGAAGAGGCCTGGGAATGCTGACATTTAGAATGTAGGCAAACTGTCATAGAGGCTCCTGCTTTCCACAGAGTCTCCGCCTTCAACCATGTCTGATGCTCCCCAGTCTAGGGAAACATCTTTTTTAGCCTCTTTAGGTTGAAGGTGGGGAAGGGAAATAGGCTAGATATAGATTGGAGTAGAAGTTGCCTAGACAAAGTAGCCTTCTGTCCACTTTAAAATGTAACTTTAAACAGTCTTCTTCTTTTTCTTCTACTTTCATCTTTACCACCAATTTTTGAGCATTTTAAGGTTTCTGTAGTAAAAATTGAGTCATGATTTCTTCCCCTTACCATTTAAATTTTGTTTCTGGTGCTTACTAAGTGCTCTACTACTACAAACTTTTCTCTTATGAAATTTTATAGTTGATATGTGTGGACATTTATTTTTGTGAATAAATGCTTCTCTAGAAACATTTAGAAGCATGCAAATCCAGGTATTCGATCTCTCATTTTTGATCAATGATATTTTTTTGTAAGCACAGATATTTAGTTTTTAGTTCAGAAAGTCTTGGCTCCTGTAAGTATCCTCAAACAAAATGAAGAACATTTCTTCACACCAGAAAGTTCTCTTATGTTCTTTATTGTGAATTCTCCCCATCCCCACATCCTCTCTCACTATCTTCAGAGAATCCTCTTTTAAGACTTTCACCATCCACAGATTAGTTTTGCCTATACTTGGTTGTCATGAAAATGGAATCATAATGTATTTTTTATGGGTATCACTTTCTTTTTGTTCAACACAATGTTTTTGAGATTGACCTACGCTGTTAAGTATAGCAATAATCATTCCTCTTAATTGCAGAGTACTGCATCCGTTTATGGATTACCTAGTGAGTGTCTTGTTGATGGACATTGCAGTTTTGACCAATGATTTTCAAATTACCAAGTTCTCATAGTTTATTTTTAGCAACAATCTCTTTCTAGCAATAGACATTAATTACCACCTATCATTTCTTGAAACTTTTTTCGTCTTTGGTGTTCAAGATCATGAATTCCCCTATCTCTCTGAGCACTACCCCCTTCTTGTCGCCAAGCAGTACTAGCTCCATAATATACACACAGACACACACAAAGCTATACATAAGGGGCCATATACACATATATAGCCCCTTATTTATGTGTGTGTGTGTGTTGAGAGACAGAGACAGAGAAACAGAGAGAAAATTCAGACTGAAGTCTTGCTCTTCTTGTATTTCCAATCTTCAAAGTATTTCATCTCATTTTGAAATGACTACATTTTGATGATGTAATGATGTGAATCACTCTGACTCTATCTCAGCTAAGTTCCAGAGCTACATTTTTAACTACTCACTGTTTTGACTCATCTGTGAGGTCCTACTGGCTGTTTAAATTTAATATCAAAACTGAGCTCACTGTATTTAATACAGGTAGAACAATTAAAGCTACGAGACCACTCCCTTCCACTCACCTGAACCTGGACACCTTCCTTGGGACAACCCCCTTGACTTTTTTCTAAGACCCACTCCCTACAAAAGACCCCTGGAAATTTCTAAAATTCCAAGCCAGGGCACATGCCTAGACCTGTTGGCATGACCTATAATGACTTTTCTTCACTCTGAACTTATTAAAGTTTCATACATATGGACTGCATATCATGCATCCAATTATAACCAAGTGAATAATGGGAAAGGACTTGCTCAGCAGATACAGCTAAGATGACTCAGCACCCTGTCAATCATGTTGTCAATCATGCTCTGAGAGATTTAATGAGAGGTGCCTTAGGCCATTTCAAATCCTTAAGCCCAACTTATTCTATTTTCTCATGTCACATTTTCTTTTTTCTGCTGGCACAAGCCCACTCACTCTGAGCATTCCTTCCCCTTTAAACTTTATTAAATATAGCTGTTTTTTCTTTACCATTTTGTATAACATTCAATTCTCTGTTGTACACAAGAACCCGGAAACCTGTCCCCTGGGACTCCATCACCCATGGCAATATATTCTCTTCAGAACCCATTTCTCTTATTTACTGTCTTGTCTTGAATGAAAGAATCACCAATAGATCACCCACACTAGGAAACAGAGTCATACTGAGACTCTCCTTCAAGATCTATATTCACTGATCACAAGTCTGGTCAAGTATACTTCTGTGAGGTCTTCGAAGTCTTGCCTCCTCGAAAGGTCCTACGTCAATCCCTTCTCATCTTTTACCTAGTCAGGCAACAGCCTTTTAGTTGGTTTCACTACTACTTCATATTGAAACCAGTTCTATTTCTCAACTTCTTTCACATTGTGCATTGATTTAAAAGTATATTATGATTCTTCTCATTTTCAGCCATCTTGATTTTACTTACTGACTACACATTCAAAGTAGTGTCAAATGAAATGGGAAATTCTGAACTAGGACCTGATCATTTGGTCTAATGCTATGTTTAGTGGATTCTTGGTCTTTGCTGCTACAACTGACAGATTTTTCTCGGCCTGTTCCATATGAGTTAACATCTTGCCTAAGAGCGGGTGTGGGAAATTAAAAAACAAAACAAAACAAAACAAAATCAATGTCGCTCACTTGGCAGCTTCATGATAGTTTGTTTTGATAGTTTGTCTGTTATTTATAAATATGGTTAACTAACATACTTGTTCTTCCTTTATGGTTTGTAAGCAGAAACAAGCCATCCTATTCTGTGAAAAAGCTTTTGATCTACTACATATACAAAAGACATCAAAGGACTTGACCTTTATATACCACACATTAAAATATGCTTTATATTTTCTGATACATAGTGGAAGTTTATTGATTTTTTTTTAAGCTAGAGACTAAATTTGTCTTCATAGATTTGGAT